CCAATCCAGGGCCTTAAATAGCTTTTAAGCTAATCACAGTTAACATGGGTCTCTTAAGTAACGTCTATGTGAAGAGGCAATATAAAAAGCTGACTTCAAGGGCACCTGGGTGGCTCAGAGAGTTAAGCCTCTGCCTTTGGCTCAAGTCATGATGTCAGGGTCCTGGGATGGAGCCCCACATCAGGCTCCCTGCTCAGCAGGGAGCCTGCCCCACCCCCTGCGTGCCTTTCTTCCTACTTGTGATCTTTGTCAAATAAATAAAATCTTTAAAAAAAAAAAAAAGGAGTAAAACACTAAAAAAAAAAAAGCTGACTTCAGACCATAGAGTACATATATTAACTCAAAAGCAAAATAAATAACCTGTATAAGAGAATAGAGGGAAAAACCCACAAATGACAGCTTGAATAGTCTTCATTTTGATTTTTAATAAAGTCTCATAACTACAAGTAATTACAGATTTTTCTCCATAAATACCTTTTTTTTTCGATTCAGACACACTTTTCATATTCAAACATTTCTGAAATTTGCGTGTAGCTTACAGTGCATGTGTATAGGTTTCCTTGCTGTCAGAAAGTATATCATTCCTATGAAACCTTTTTTTTTCCCCCTAAAGTAGTGCAGTGGCTCAAATTCACGACCATGAGATTGAGACCTGAGCTGAAATCAAGAATCTGATGCTTAATCGACTGAACCACCCAGGTGTCCCCTATGCAGCCTTTTAAAATTGGTATAAAGTGAAGAAACAATTACCATTAATTTATATGGAAAATTTTTTTAGAGTTCCCAGACCCAAAAAGTCACCTCTCTTAGGCTTTTCTGATACCTAAGGACATACCTTGCTAATGGATACACAAAATAAATCAAGATAAAGCACAGATGCTCACAGACACAGTTCAAAGCTGTGGTGGCTAGATGCTTTGATGCTGAGTAAAGTTTGTGGGGGAGGAACTTGGCGGAGCCACTCTTAATGTCTTTGTAACAGCTCGCTGCAAAACCCACACTGAATGCTATTTGTGCTTTTCACCTTTTTTTGTAATAAGCAAAAATCCTCTTTGGATTTCTTTTGGTTAGAAAAACAGGTACTGGGACGCCTGGGTGGCTCAGTTGGTTAAGCAGCTGCCTTCGGCTCAGGTCATGATCCCAGCGTCCTGGGATCAAGTCCCACATCGGGCTCCTTGCTCATCAGGGAACTTGCTTCTCCCTCTGCCTCTGCCTGCCATTCTGTCTGCCTGTGCTCGCTCTCTCTCCCTCTCTCTCTCTGACAAATAAATAAATAAAATCTTAAAAAAAAAAAAAAAAAAGAAAAACAAGTACTAATGTAGGTCTTTCATAAAAGTGAAGTAATGTAACATAAACTTTTAGAAAGCAAAGTGGGAGGCACCTGGGTAGCTCAGTTGGTTAAGCCTCTGACTCTTGATTTCAGCTTAGGTCATGATCTCAAGGTCTTGAGATTGAGCCCCATATCCATACTGGGTGTGGAGCCTGCTTAAGATTCTCTCTGTTTCCCTCCTTTTGCTCCTCCCACCCACATGCTGTCTCTCTTAAAAAAAAAAAAAAAAAAAAGTGAAGCTACTTGTATTTAATGTGGCACTGACCATGCAGCCTTCTTACCCTGCCTGAGAAACTTTTTAAGTTGTGTTTTATAATCAGTTTTGTCTTTGAGTCTTTATGGTAAATAATGTTTCTGGGTAAATTTTGAGAGCAAAATTTGTTTACAAAGTGATTCATAGAATATTTGAGAGCAGTATTTTCCAAAGTATTTTTTCATAATATCATGTATATCATGCATATAGTACTATATCAGTTCCTATGTAAGTGTTCTGAAAACAGGGGAGAAGCTCAATGGTTAAATAAGTTTGGAAAATGCATCTTACTTTCAGAGTCTTATGGTGGATAAAAAGCTGATTAATCTCTGAGAAAGACTGGTTTAAAAAATCACAACTCTTTCGGGGTGCCTGGGTGGCTCAGTGGGTTAAAGCCTCTGCCTTCGGCTCAGGTCATGATCCCAGGGTCCTGGGATTGAGCCCCGCATCGGCTCTCTGCTCCGAAGGGAGCCTGCTTCCTCCCATCTCTCTCTCTGCCTGCCCTCTCTGCCTACCTGTGATCTCTGTCTGTTAAATAAATAAATAAAATCTTAAAAAATCGAAACTCTTTCAATCACTTTTAACCAAGTATTTTCCAAACTCTTCTGACCCCCAAATCCTTTTTTGTCAGCACCTGCTAGCACTCCATTTTGGAAAATACTGCCATGTAAAATTAGTTAATATAAGTATTAGGACAAAATATTTTTATCAGGTTGTTTTAAATACTTGCCCATTGCAAATTAAAAAAGACAACTAATAATTCCGTGCCTCTATGTATCTAGTTGTCACAAGAACCTTTTCAAAGGCAGGGCTGGCTAGCTTAGTCAGACGTGGTCTTTAACTGCCTTCAGTAGTACAGCAACCCTGTGCTGCCCTGTCAGTATTAAGTATTAGCTCTTGATTCATTTCACAGATTTGTACATCAGTCCAGTTGCTGGACTTTGAGGTGATATATCTGAACAATGGAAATTCTGATGTAATATATCATAGCTTGTCAGTTCCGGCTGTGCAGTTTTATTCCGTAACTCAACTACACCTACTTTTTTAGACTTTATTACCAACTTAAAGATATTGGTCAAGTGTCAGTATTGCTGGATCTTCTTGTACTGTTCTCCTGTATTTATTATAGCCTTTCTACAGTAAACCTCTGGGGGAGTCATAGAGATGGGGTAAATCTGTCCCTTCCCTGTGTTGTACCAGGGAAAGGTGGGAGTTAGGCAGTTCTTATAAGTGTCCTCAAAATAAGAGACATCTTCATCCTGGGTAATGGAAACTGTAGAATATTAACTAGATATATTTTTTTGCACATTCAGTAATTATTCATTAAAGGCCTAGTTTGTACCAGATAACTCTGCCAAGTGTGGTATTTAAAAAGTGAAAAGCAACCAATCCTGTCCCTCTCACAGAGTTGACTGTATCTGGTGAGAAAATGGTTGTGTAAATGATAAATATTCATAACGCAGTATGCTTACTATTATAAGAAGCAGATAATAGGAAGCTCTCGGGACCCCTCAGTCAGATAATGAGTTTGGTGAAGTAAGTAGAAAGTCTGAGCCTAGAGGATAAGTAGCATTTGGTCATGCAGGCAAGAGGATAAAGGACATCAGTGACAGAACAACTCATAAAATGCACGGAGTTGTAGAATTTGGAAGTGCAGGTAGCGTGGTCTTGCATACGATATTTATGGTAGAGGATGAGGCCTGAATGGAAGGAAGGAGCCCAGTGGTTGATGGCTGTAATTGCTATGTTAGGCAAAGTTTAGAAGACTGACCCATAGGTGGTTCTTGATCCGTGTTAGCAGTTTTCAAATAATAAGTTAATGAAAATTGAGTAAACTGCACTAAATTTCTTAAATTTACTGTATATTTCCAGATGACAGAATAATCATATTACTTTATGTTTATAATATTTTTATGATTCATGGGCCTGATCACTTAATAAGTTATTCTTACATAAATGCATTAGCTCTATTCTTTTTTTTTTTAAGATTTTATTTACTTATTTATTTATTTATTTATTTATTTGACAGACAGTGATCACAAGTAGGCAGAGAGGCAGGCAGAGAGAGAGAGAGGGAGAAGCAGGCTCCCCGCTGAGCAGAGAGCCTGATGTGGGGCTCGATCCCAGGACCCTGGGATCATGACCTGAGCTGAAGGCAGACGCTTTAACCCACTGAGCCACCCAGGTGCCCCTAGATTTTATTTATTTTTAATTTGAGAGAAAGAAAGAGAGAAAGAGAGCACAAGAGTGGGGAGGGGCAGAGGGAGAGGAAGAAGCAGACTCCTCACTAAGCACAGAGCCCAGCATTGGTGATCCCAGGGTCCTGAGATCATGACCTGAGCTGAAGTCAGATGCTTAACCGATTGAGCTACCCAGGTGCCCCAGCATTAACTTTATTCTTAATCAGTTTTATTGAGATATAATTTCCTTGCAACACACCAGTTTTATAAAACTCACTTAGTTTTGACAAATGTATAAGGTCACATAACTACCAGTCTTCTAATCATGAGATGGTATATTTTCATCACCCTGAATTAATTAGATTTTGGTAAACTAAATAAATTAACTCTTTGAACCCTAACCCTGGAAGATGTAATCTTGGAAGAACAGAGAAATAAAAAGCCATCAACCTTAAACTAGCAAGAAATTTTTTTTCCCATAAAACCCAGTCACAAAGAGAAGCTCTGTATAAATGCTGCTTTTGGGGGGTTTTGTCTCTTGAAATCTTCAGAAGGAAAAGGAGGAAGTAAGAAGCAACAGTAAGAAGTTGTCTATAAAGTGGTGTAATGTTATGTAAAAATGTTTCAGGGTGGAGGAAGAAAAAGTACCGAGAACATAAAACCACATTTTAAATACTGAACTGGAAATCTCAGACTTGAGTTCTAGCAAACAGCTTTGACACTTAAAGAATTCCAGAAGCAGTTTCACTTTTCTGAGGTCTTGGTTTTCTCACTCATCAAATGGGGGACTTGAACAGCATATTCCAAGCTGTATTATACAGAACTAGGTTTTGTGAAGCATGTTACAGGTTGAGGACAGGAGAATTAGGAATTAAGGCTAAATGCTAAATTGGGGAATAGTTGGAGTTAAGTTTTGATGCCAGCAGATAGGGGAGAAAGTGCATTTCCTCTCAATTTTATTTCTATATATTCCACTGACCTTTTATTGACTGTTACAGCATTGGAGGTTAGGACACTTTTGAAAAACAATTCTGTCTGTAATTTTGCCTTGCAACTGTGATTCAGTATGAAGAGGAATGACTTTCTCCAGGGAAATGAATATTGTCATTAAACCACCAGATTTCTTTCCTCCAAGTTACTACATTTAGGAACAAAGTATATGTTTGGAAATGAGGGGTATGAAGGTTTGTATTTTTAAACAATTATTTAATCCATCTTATTTGTTTGTTTTAACCAGTTACCCATGGGTGTATTGTTTCCACAATAAAACTTTTTCTACCAGATGGTATGGAAGCCCGACTCCGCTCAGAGTGAGTATAATTTAGTGCCATGAAGTTTTTGTATTAATTACTTGGTTAACAATATTCTAGGTGATGGTATACTGTTAACACTTTAGGATTATTCTTATAATGGTAGAAAATTAATGCAGTACTTTTAGAATATAATATACTTTAATTTTCACATTAGCTACAATTCTAATTAATAATAATGTATAATGAGGCACAGGTTATTTTGTTTCCAAATTTAGCTTTACAGTTTATATTTTGATTGATAATTAGGTGTTTTTCAAAATATTTAGGGTATGCAAATTATTGGTGAGTAATAACTACTCAGTGATGAGTGATAACTGTATTTTGATCTGCATTTAATATAGGACTTCTTAAACTGTGATTCCCTCTGAAGTTAATGCCAGTGTCATGATCTTTTAGGACCTTGAGGATGTTGATATCGTTAATAGCCTATTTTGGTGGGAGTTTTGGAGGGATTTTCCAAGGCTGTATTTTTTTTTTCCCCCTGAAGAAGTGGAAAGATCACTTAGAGGAGGAGAAACTTGAAAAGGAAGAATTACTCATAAAATGTAAATGTAAAAATCTAAATATAAGTACATTTTAATCTTGTGCTTTTCACAGATTATCATTATGTAGTAATTATTAATTAAACTTAAGCATTTTTTATTTGGGGGGCAATAAGCTTGTTTCTATAACCAACATAATATTTTTTATCCTTCAAAAGCAAAGACAAAGACCTGAGGGTGGGAGGTTAAGATAAGCAATAATAAGTTTAAGGCAAAGTAGAATAGTGAGTAGAAAAGAAAGAAAGAAAAAAAAAGCAGAGGGAGACCCTCCTATTGGTATGATTGTGCTTTCATTAGGATTATTATATATTTTGCTTCAGTTAGATGCTACCAATTTTTTTTTAGCTTTAAGCATATCTGAAACAAAGTAAAAATTTTTAAACATCTAAATGTAAAACAATCTGTTTCCTATTCTGTATTATAGTTTAATTATTAAAAAATACAGTTAACTTTGGGAACTCTAATGTGACTCAGGCAGGACTCAACGGTTAAGTTTTTAAAAATAAGAGTAACTATTAATCAACTAGTGATATGTGGTTTCTTAAGAATGTTGTTGTTTGTGTGTGATGAGATTTTCCCTTCATGGAGTTAAAAGATTTGAGCAGTTATATAAAGGGTTATCTGTGATCTCGGGTTCCATCTAGGAGGACATGTGAATTTTTCAGTCTGTTAGTGAATTGTGTCCCTCTCCTTCTTGTTTCCCCAGTGCTTTTCATCTTTGCGCCATTTCCTTCTCATTATTTGGTTTTTCTTATGTGGTTAAATATTAGTGTCATTTTAAATTTTGCTGCCAATTTCATAGTGCATAGACTGGCTGACTTTCTGGAGAAGATGAATTTTGGACAGGCAGTTCTTTAGCGCTGGTAGATCAGGATGGTCTTTAGAGGTGGATAGTCTCATTCAAAGCCCAACTCCACTGACTCTATGTCTTGATCAGGCCTCCCTTTTCTCATTTGAAAAATGAAGATAACAATAGTATCTACTGAGCAGGAATTTTATGAGGAAAATTATGCAAGATTATGCACTTAAAGACTTTTGTATAGTAGCTGGCATACATCAAGGACACAATGATCATTAACTGTTTCTGTTACTGTCATCTTTTTTAGCAATCAAGATACATTTGGGTATGCCAGAATGCTTAGAATTTCAGGTACATTTAAAGCATCTAATGCTTTTAAGATACTCACTAGCTAGTTCTCAAAAAGCTAATTCTTTTCTTCTTTGATTTTTATTATATTGCACAAAGGATTTGTTTTTTAAGTTATCTGTATACCCAACGTGGGCTCAAACACATGGCTCTGAGATCAAGAGTCACATGCTGTACTGACTAAGCCAGCCAAGTACCCCTGCACAGATAATTTTTAAATGATAACAAACATGGGCACCTGGGTGGCTCAGTTGGTTAGGCAACTGCCTTCGGCTCAGGTCATGATCCTGGAGTCCTGAGGTCGAGTCCCATATTGGGCTCCCTGCTTGGCGGGGAGTCTGCTTCTCCCTCTGACCTCTTCCCTTTCATGCTCACTCTCTCTCTCTCAAATAAATAAATAAAATCTTTAAAAAAATGATAACAGAGAAAAATTGCCTATAATCCCACCATCTTAACACTAAATAATGGTTTTCCTTTTCTGTATTCCCTTGTTGCATATGAACTTTTTCTATAATTCAAACAGAATACACCTATATCCAGGATAGTTTCTGTAAGATACATGTTTAGCTGGATTTTTAGCCTTTTGTTAACCAAATTTTCACAAGAACAGAAAATTTTGTACTTGGGTCACTAAGAAAACTGGATTTAAAAAAAACAAACCATGAATACTGTTTGCTTCTATTTAGATTTTAAGTTCATTTGCCTGAATGTGCATTGGCTATAGAGAAAAATATATATACCCCAAATGGTTGTCTCTAGGTGCTGGCATTAGGTAATTTTGACTTATTTCCTCATGCTTTCATTTCCCATAATCAGTATATATTGCTTGTATAGTCAAGAAAAAGAAGGTTATGTTTAAACTGTCTATCCTGTGTTGATAGGATACAGAGAAAAACTAAAGTTGGCATAATTTTTTAAACCTTCATTAGGCGCCAGCTTTGCTAGGGCCTGGTGATAGGTTCTGGGGATCCAGAGGTAAATTGGTCATGGTGCCTGGCTTCCTTATCTGCTCTTTTCTCATGGGAGTGGTAGTAGGATCAAGTGTTATTATGTCTTAGGCACTGTTGAAAGCTCTTTATTTATAGTAACACATTTAATGCTTACAGTTACCCCATGGGGTTATTTTTATGATTATCCCCATTTTATGGATGAGGAACCTGAGACCTATATAGTGCTTAGGTAAACTTGCCCAAGATTACACACCTAGTAAGTAGAACCAGAATGTGGGCCCAGTCAGTATGGCATCTGAGCCTGCATGCTGAACTGCTACACTGTAATACTGCCTGTCTGTCGTTAGTACTTTATAAGGCCCAAAAGGCAATTAGTACCAATTATACTGTCTGTTTACTGCTTAGTTTTATAGGAATATACTGAGTTTAGTTTCATACCTACATCTAAGCTTTCAGTTGTTTGCGTGTGAGGTAGAGAACAGTAATACTGTTTGGTTGGCTAAAGTTGTTCTCCACTAGAACAAGTTTCCAAAGCGTAGCTTTCTTTCTAGTAGAACTTTGTTTTTTAAGACTTTGTTTATAGGAAAAAAAAAAAAAAAAAAAAAAAAAGACTTTGTTTATAGGAATATTTAATTTTAAAAGGACATAATTTACACATTCCAGAATTAAAAATAGATAATTTAAGGTGTACTTCTTTTCTGTATAGAAGTTCTATAGTCATGGAATTCACCAGAGCCCTCATTAAATAGTGGATCCTCAAAGGGAATTTAATACATTTTGAATTTTGAATTTTGGATTTGTGATTAGAAATATGTCATGTGTAAAAGGTAGATTTGTGTATTTATTACCTTTTTTTCCAAGAATTCTATGGATTTATGAAGGATTAGAGAATAATTCACATTGTTTTAATTATATGACACCGAGTGTATCAACTTTAGGGTTAAGATATTCTGGTACTGTCATACTGTTTCCTCTGTTGTCAGGAAATTAGATAAAAAATTCTAAATTTTACTTTTCAGTGTCATCCATGCTCCATTACCAAGTCCTGTTGACAAAGTAAGTTACTAATGATTATTTTCTCTAAACTAACTCAGCTATATTGCTTTGGAAAATGTTTTTATTTGTTTTTAATATGCTTTACCTAGGAATTTTTTTTTCTTCTGTAACAAATGATATATAGTGTATGCAGGTATTTGGTTATTGCAGTCTTCTGATCTGGAAAATTTAGGATGGATGTTTCCTAGGAAAAAAACCTTTGTTATCTCAACTAAATGGCCAGTAGTATAGACTAGGAGCTCTAGCCAGAGATACAAAGTGTTAGTTACTACTTTTTATTCTGGAATACAATTCTCTCTAGAAATATCTATTTAAGTTTTCTGCCCAAATAGTTCACCCAACATATACTTACACATAGAAAAATGGAAATAAGGATTTACAGAAATTGCTCTTTTATTGTCCTTGAAAATTAGTTTTAACTTTATTTGGTCAGAAAATTTGCGATAATTACTTGTTAGTGTTTTTCCTTTTGTTCAGAAATAATTGTGTAATAAACTGTAGATATCATTGCTAAATACCAAAAAAAAAATCTGTATCTCTTGGCATGAATGTGGGTGTTTTTTCTTAGTGTACTAAAACTTTTTTCTTCCATTTGGATAAAGACTGAAAGCCTGCCTGAAACTGAAGTTCTCTGTGAGATTCCTTTTTTAGAAGTAAAAGTGGTTGATCATCAACCTTAGTAATACCAAGAATTATTTTAGAAGTAAATAATGGCATTGCCAGTTTAGGACTAACTTTTAAAAATAATGCCACTTCTCTAGATTCTAGTTAGCATATTAATAAAAATATTCTTTCTGAACCTAATCAGAAATAGTGCTATTTAACATCATTCATAAGTTGATACAAAAGGCTTGGTAATATTGAGGATATGGGTAAATGTTACAGCAACCTAATAGTATCTTCTTTTTGTGGGGGGGTGAATAATGCCATGGTTCTATGTTCCACACTTGGGAAGAACCCCTTATTGAAGGTATTTCTTCTAATACTCTTGAGTTCTAAGTATTTTTTCTGTGATTTGTAATTTAAATACCATTATTTTCCATCTTTTTCTTCTTAAACCTACCTGTAGTTTAAAGAATGAAAAAGACAAAACTATTCCCTTCTTCCCTCCCTCTCTTGCTCTCTCTCTCCCTTCTCCTTCCTTCCTTCCACCCTTCCTTCCTTCCTTCCTTGCTTGCTTCCAAAACAAATCTATTTTCATTGTCCTGGCCATGAAAAGTACTATATTTCATGTCCTGTCTCTCCCTGCACCCCCACATACAATTCCCATTTTGAAGATGGCTACTTCTAAAAGAATTGTGACTTCTTGGTGTATTGAAAAACTATCTAACAATGAATTATAAAGGGGATAAGTTATAAATCTATTGATTTAGGAGGTATTATTTCTGAATTAAGAAAGAGCAATATTGCTGTTGTGCTGTGTTTGTGATTTGGTTTATCAAGGAATGTTTTCATGAGTAGTACTTGTTCCACCACCCTGCTTATAAATTTCAGACTAGTCAGCAAAAAATAATACCATTTACAAATTCTAGGCATGAGACAGATATATTTTGAAAACAAAAGGAACTTGTTAAGCGGAAAAATATGTTTTATTTTGCATATTTTGGTAAATGGACATTTCAGGGACTTGGTTTGGCTTTAATGTCTTTTATAAATGTTTTGTGTGACTATTGGTACTTATGTTATTTTTTTCAAGGTTGCTGCTAACACTCCAAGTATGTACTCTCAGGAACTATTCCAGCTTTCTCAGTATCTACAGGTAAAAGTAAATCTTGAAAATTCTTAGTTTTTAAAAGTAGAATTAAACAACTTAGATTTGATTTTGCTAGTTCACAAATACAGGCTAAAGAAATATTGACTGGATACAAATATAAAAGAAATATCTCTCAAAGTTAAAAAAAGGATTAAAACTAGGTCTTATGAAGAGAGGATAAAAAGAATCCGGATTATTGGGGTGCCTGGGTGGCTCAGTCAGTTAAGCATCTGCCTTTGGCTAAGGTCACAATCCTAGGGTCCGGGGATCGAGTCCCGCATTGGGCTCCTTGCTCAGCGGGGAGCCTGCTTCTCCCTCTGCCTGCTGCTACCCATGCTTGTGCGCTAAATAAAATCTGGGGGAAAAAAAAAAGAATCAGGATTATTAAGTCTAAAAAAGATAGGGTTCCGTACAAGAGAAGTATTTCTTTCATTCAGTATGGGAAAGTTTCAAAATAGTTCATAGATGACTTTTAAGTAAAATTAAACCTGGAGAGATCTTGGTTGCTCAGTATAATATTAATAGCAAATGATCATATATGTGTAATAATATATAATATATAATATAATATAATATATAACCAATATAATACAATATAAATATGTAATAATAAATAGTACATTTGTTATAAATGATAGTTTATAATATAATAAATAATATAATATACACATTAATATAATACATTATAATATAACATATAATAATATATTAAATTAAATTATTATAATATATATAATATAATGTAATATATATTAACTATATGCCAGACTCTAGCAGTTTACCTCTATTCATTTATTGTTCAGAATAATCCTGTAAGGTACATATTTTATTCCCATTTTTATAGATGGAGTAACTGAGAGCCTGGAAAGTTAAATAATTTACACAGTGTTATGCACCTACTCTGTGGTAGAGCTGGGATTTGAACCCAGACAGTCAGACCTCAGAGTGTCCACCCTTGAACACTATGCTATGCTGCTGGATCTGTAGAAGGATATTTTGATGGGGCAGATACAAGGAATGGGCTCCTGAAGTTAATAATGGATTTAAAGAGCCATAGAAATTTCCATAAAGGAAATACGTGGCTTTTTTTTTTTCCCCCTCTTGATTTTGGGACATTTGGGCTGGATTATTGTTCTTATTATTCTGGTGAGGGAGCATGGTGGAAGAAAAACCCTAGATCAGAAATTAAGAGATTAAACTTTTTATCCTGGCTCTGCTACTGAGTTCTCTGACTTTGGGTGAATCATTCTACATGTGTAGGTCTCCACTTGCTTTTTAAAACTGATAAGATCAAACCAGTATCCTGGTTCCTACATTCCTTTATAAGAACCAATCACTAAGAGCAGTTCTCCCTCCGTTAAGAATTTACAAGTCTGAAAATTGTCAGAGTATTAATCAGATCTTACCTTCCACTGGGCATTATGTAATGGTGCATAGAAAAGCTGTTTTACACATTTGCCGTTTAGTAGAATGTCTGAAAGCATAGACTCTAGCCAGAATTCCCTGGACTTGGTCTATGGCTTTCACTTCAGAAGTTTTGGGAAGGTTGTTTAACCCTTTCGTGAGCCTTGTTTTCTTCATCTATGATGTGGGTATAATAGCATGTACTTCACAGAACTGTGAAGAAAAAATGAATCTATATAGATAATCTCCATTTTCACATGGGAAATATGAGGCTCATATAGGTAAAATGGATTTCCTGTGGCTGTACACTATATAGTAACTAGTCATCATGGACTGTGAGTGTAATTCCCTAACTCACTGCAGTACTTTTTCCAATTTTGTCCGTTCTTTGAATATTCATAATGGGCATAATCTTTCACTGTTCTTTTCTGGTTTTTGAGAGAAGATTATACTGTGTTATCTTTTCTGTATACATCTTTTTGAATTGCTAAAGTTCTAATGTAAATTGTAAAACTTCTGAGTAGAAACTAGAATAGATAAATTTCATACCTTAGCACTAAAAGCCATTCCTGAAAGTATTAGATTTTTGTTAGGATGTGGTTGATGGAATAATGAAACTCTAAATGGAATTGAGTTTAAAAAGGTGAAATTACACCATCTAGTGGAAGTAGTGATTGTTTGGTGGGTTTGTTTTTAAGTAAAACTTTTTGCAGCATTTAATGTAATTTCCTGGATATTAGGAATGTTTAAAGAGCTTAAAATAAACTTGGCAACTAGTCTAAGTGTTAGATTCTAACTTTTGTTAGATTTCTTATTCTATACTTTTAGAGTTATATTAAAAAATGGTACCAGTAACTAATTAGATCAGATTTTCTTTAATCATTATTTATCAAGGATGTGGGAAAAAATAAGTGTGTACTTTAAACCTCAAGTACTGTCTTTTTTGAAGTGGCTCTAGAGGTATTAGGGTAGTAAGTGTTCTTCTTTGGCTAATGACAGGAATAGAAGAAAGTGAAATTTAAAGATGTGCCATAACCACAGCTGAATGCTGTGTGAGCATTTTCACCTTGACTTCTAGTGAAGGAGACCCTCTTAACAGCTGTCAAATGTTAACAAGTGACATAGAGATAAGGATTTGCTTGCCAACGTCCTTCTCTGTAAAAATATCCCTTTGGAGTTGCCAAATAGTTATATAACTCCTTGACCCCTTAATTACATTTGTGGACTCTTACTTATTTTTGCCATATTTGATTGATGCTGAGTAGTATATAGTCACAAAGATTCAGAAAACCTGAAAATGCAAGAGATTGCAAAGTAGTGTCTTTCCTTATATATATTTACATATATAACATTCTTAAAAGGGAAAATTAAAAGACATTTCTATTTTAGATGTCATACACATACAGCTAAGACATTAAGAAATATCTTTGGGGACGCCTGGGTGGCTCAGTTGGTTAAGCAGCTGCCTTCGGCTCAGGTCATGATCCCAGCGTCCTGGGATCGAGTCCCACATCAGGCTCCTTGCTTGGCGGGGAGCCTGCTTCTCCCTCTGTCTCTGCCTACCATTCTGTCTGCCTGTGCTTGCTCTCTCTCCCTCTCTCTCTGACAAATTAAAAAAAAAAAAAAAAAAACTTTAAAAAAGAAATATCTTTGCTGCTGACGAGATTGTTTGGCTTAGTTTGAAATTTGTTCTGAAAGATATGTATATATATTTTAAAATGTGTGTGTGTGTTTATATACACACACATATATAGATATATACAAAGATATCTATATATATAGATTATATGTAAAATGGAGGGTTAATAACATTTGTTGAATTCTTCTAATCTGGGTTTCCTCTTTTTTTAATGCTTGTGAATTATGAGTGGAAGGAAAACAAAAATAGGGCACTTATTTTCTGTTAATAGGGGAAGGTGTGGCTCAGTACCCCTAACAGTCCAGGAAATAGGATTAAAGTGATGTGGCTTATATATATTTTACAAGGTAGATTTTTCAGGTTTGAAAGTAAGATACAAAGTGGGGGGGGGGATACAAAGTGGGATGTAAAATGAGAATATTTTCAGAATGTACTTGGATTTTTCTTCAAGCATCATGCTGAGTTTATAAAAATCTCTTTTGTGATTTATACTATTAGGAGGCCTTACATCGGGAACAGATGTTGGAACAGAAGTTAGCCACACTTCAGCGGCTACTAGCCATCACCCAAGAGGCTTCAGATACCAGTTGGCAGGTATTCCATTTGCCTTTATATTCAAGAAGCATTTAAGTATAGTTTAATATCCCTTAGATGTTGATTAAAAGTGAAATTTTTTAGCAGGCAAAGGCAAAGTTATTTCTGAATGACCAAATATTGAAAATGTAGCATTTTACAATGGGTGTTGGTCAGTTTTATGATTTTATATCTTTTTTGGGCAGTAGCAACCTTTTTGATATGTGTAAATTTTTAATTACTCTGGGATTTAAATTAATTTTTCAACAGGCTTTAATAGATGAAGATAGACTCTTATCACGGTTAGAAGTTATGGGAAACCAATTACAGGCATGCTCCAAAGTAAGTATTAATCTCAAGTAAAGATCCTTAAAGAAAAATGCATAAACTATGCACGAAAAATGCATAGTTTTTTATGTAGCTTGTTTCTTTGTCATTTGTGTACGTGCTAAAACATTTATGCGTTTTCACCATTCTTTCAAATCTTTTTTCATTATAGGAAATTTCAAACATACATGTAAGAAGAAAGAATTGTGTATTGAATACCCATATACAACTCTTTCTTTGTTTTCTATCACAGTTGATATTTGCTGGAGAAACTGGGTCATTTGTCCTCTATAATTTCCCTCAGTCTGGATTGTTATTTAAACATTTCTTCTAACTCTCCTCCCACCCCATAAATTGGTAGTTTGATCTAGAGATTTGATCTAATTTAGGTTCAACTCTTTTTTTTTGCCAGCAATACTTCATGAATAGTATTGTGTACTTTCACCAGAAGGCACCGTACTATCTAGTTGTCTTTCTTTTGAGATATTAGCAATCTTTGATGATTCTTGGCTAGATCCATTATTAGGGCTTGCAAAAATGGTGGTAATATAGTTCTGTTATTCCTTCATTTATTATCTGGATTACTTCTATAAATACTTCTTTTCCTCCTCATAAACCATTTGGTTACCCTGAAGTCATTTTCTTAGGAAAAGAAGGATAAGTTATTTTCTCCATTTATTTACTAGATTTTAAAATTGGTTCCTTCTCATCCACCAAAGAATGACCATGAAGTGGTTTTTTTTCCCCAAACATAGATTTAATATATTTCATGTGTTTCAGCCTATTCCATTTGTTGTTCTTATTGATGCTCAAATTTTCCCATCTTTGGTGCCTGAGTCCTTTTGGTAGAACCCCAGCAAACTAATAGCTTCCTGCTGTCATTTTAGACAAGGTGTTTCAGACTCGTCTTGTACATTTCCTGCCTCAGAACTGGACTCAGCTTTTTCTTCAGGGTGCTCTTATTCCTTATTCCTAATGGTTAACCATTATTTTAAAATGCTTGGCCCCTTTGAAAGTAATAGATTATTTTTACCCACAAATGTAAATATTGTGGCTTATAGAGAATATGACAGGCGACTTAATTCATTTTGTACATTTGAGAGAAATTCTCCATTTCCTTAGACTTTTTTTTCTATTGGAAGTATGGATTAATGTATTTGTGAAGGCATAATTTACAGTGCAACTTTTAAATACAGCTTCAGTTAATACAGGGCCAACATTATTTCTATTTGGAGATACATCAGTATAGAATTCAAAGAGCATCATAATGTGTTATTTTTCCAAATGGTAAATACTTACAAAAATTACTTGGCTATAATTATAAATGTCTTCTAATCCTAGAATCAAACAGAAGATAGTTTACGGAAGGAACTTATAGCATTACAGGAGGACAAACACAACTACGAGACGACAGCCAAAGAGTCCCTGAGGCGGGTTCTTCAGGAGAAAATTGAAGTGGTTAGAAAACTTTCAGAAGTTGAGGTATTTCATTTTAACAAATATAAAATGGTAGTATGTTTAAAATTTTTAGCCTAAAATTGCTAATATTGTAGGACATTTTAAACTTTAGTATTATATAGCTAAGAAATATTTCCTGTCTGTGAAGTGGGAAGGGATAATATGCTGTTTTCCTTGTTAGGAATTTTCAACATAACCGTGTGAGTCTGGTGCTTGTGGTTCCTACTCAGTGACCGAGCAAATAACAGCCTCATCAGGGAGTCTTACTGTGTGCATTCTGCTTAGGATTCGGCCTCTTACACAGTGGACTGTGATATGTGGAGGGAATTGATCTCCTGTCACCTAGTTTTGCTTTTCTTCCAGTGGAGGATAGTTAGTGGAAGGTGGAGAACCTTACCACTGTTATTTACCCACCCTCTGGAGAAGAAAACTGTGTCTAACTTTAGAGGTCAAAGGGAAAATATCTCTGAGGTCCTTTCTTGGTCTTTTAGGAACAATCAAAATGTGATTCTCGTTGCTTTAAAAATAACCTAATTGATAATGTAGGTTATTCCTTTGAACTGCTGCTAAATTACCACAGAAGTTATTTGTTACTGGATTTAGTTAAAATGCCCATTGTAAACTGAACAGTAAAATTACTATATATAGTATATACTGTAGAATATGTTATAGTAATAGTTTCTATAATAGCCTTATCCCATTATAACTAATTCACTGTCGTGTCATTGATTTGATATGCAAGGAAAGAAAATTGCTAGTAGTCTTCTAATTTTCTTACTAAGTTGATTATGCATAGTATTAAACTTGCTTTCAAGAATTGATAAGCTTAAAATATTTTCAAGTCTAAAAGTCATAACCGGTGGCCTTTTAAAAGAGTAGTTATATAAAAGGAACATTCTTTCCTCCCCTGCCCCCTTTCTGTTGTTTTGTTTTTTGTTTTTCAGTTTTTTTGCTGTATTTTCTGTTTTAGCATGTACCTAAAGTAAATTAAAATTCTTATGTTGTTTAACCTTTACATAAAGGCCAGGGCAGATAATAATTTAGAACAGCCCATAGAATTAACACTTTTTATAAGTTGAATTTAGAATGTGCATTTATTCTAAATCAGTTATCTGTAAACTTGAATTACAGCGAAGTCTGAGTAATACTGAAGATGAATGTACACATCTTAAAGAAATGAATGAACGGACTCAGGAAGAATTAAGAGAATTAGCCAATAAATATAATGGAGCAGTTAATGAAATTAAAGATTTATCTGATAAATTAAAGGTATGTATTTACTCAACCTGAAAGTTTGTTAATTGTCCCTAACATACTTGGTAGATTAAGAGGTTAGGTATTGCTGAATAGCTGTTGATATAAAAATTAGTAATGGTTGAAATATGCAGAAAAAAAAGGTGCCTTTTAGCCCAAACCCCACTGCCACAGATAATTGAAAGTCTGTAAGAGCTGACATATTTCCTTTGGATGGAAATAAGTAGTATTTCACAACAGGTATCTTTTCATATATAATAGGAAGTAGATGTAAATCAGCAAACCCCAAGATACTTAGACTTTTTAAAAACTTGAATCTGCTTATCCTTGGGGAGTCCCAGGGATAGAGCCCAACCAACTATGTTAGTGCTGAAACAAGCCCAGAAGTAACTTGGAGTCATCTGTATGGACCCTTGTAGCCTCCAGGGATGCTATTAACTGCTTCAGTGGCAGCTCCCTATAGCTATAGGGCATTTAGGATAAGGACAGATGAAGCCATAAGTAATGTCAAGTTGGTCCCTTAAATGTTATAACTGAGTTTTAAAGACCCATCTTTAAATAATTGAAACCATGGAATGAGTGGCTAGAAAACATATATTTGTTAGAGAAGACTAGGGCATACCTCCCCTCTGTGTGGTTGGTGAACCTGTAATAGTTTTAAAGATTGGTCTTGTTAAATGGAGGTCATTTTGAAAAATGCTAATGATCATCATTCTTTCAACTAAATGCAGTTTTGTTTAAAATATCAGAGAAAATTACATTTTAGAACTTACAAAGTAATTTAAACAATAGTAATTTCAGGGGAAAACCTTACATACTTCCCTCTTGAAAACTTTGGAGTTTTTCATTTTGACCCCTTTACTTGTATGTATTAGGCCTGTTTGCTTAATACAAGTTTTTCTTTCCTAGGTGATAGGGAAGCATGACATTATTTTGACATTTACAAATATTTTCTATAATATTGAATATTCTCCTTAGAAGTTTGTGGTGAATAAAAGCAGTCCTGCTTTAGGCCTTTGAAAGCAAGTTCAGACTTTATGAAATAAATGAATTTTTTTTTCTTTCTCAACAGGTAGCAGAGGGAAAACAAGAAGAAATCCAACAGAAGGGACAAGCTGAGAAAAAAGAATTACAACATAAAATAGATGAAATGGAAGAAAAAGAACAGGAGCTCCAGGCAAAAATAGAAGCTTTGCAAGCTGATAATGACTTCACCAATGAAAGGCTAACAGCTTTACAAGGTAAGTTACCTAATCCAGAAGTTGATTTGATTTGATTTTTTTTTCTTTTATCTGTGAAATATCTTTTTCTTGGACTTTTATTTACAGTACGGTTAGAACATCTTCAGGAGAAAACTCTTAAAGAATGCAGCAGTTTAGGTAGGTGTGTCACCCAGTTTCTTACTTAAAGCTGAATTTTATCATTGAATTTTTGATGTTTACTTTCTCATGGGGTACTTATTTTAAGAGGGTATTTCATGTTTTAGGTATAAAGTATCTACAGTCTTTCAGAAAATTTCCTTAAAAATATGCTTGATTGCCACCAGTGGGCACCATTGTTTAGTCTTAGAGATAAATGAAATTTCTGCATCTGAGACGCTATACTTAGAGATATTTAAATAAGAAAATACATGCAGAGCAGGACCCTTTTTCTTTTGAGGTTCATTGGAAAGCTACTGGGCAGTTATAGCTTTTTCTCTGAGTCAATAGAAAATGGCCCGTTGAACCCTTCTTGTAAAAACAAATTTAAAATGTGCTTTACTGTGTTAATGTAAGTAGGAATACAAAATGCCATGGTTACAGTTGAGACCAGTTTTAAAGTAACGCTTTCTTTGATAAGGCAATGATACACTGTCTTAATCCTAGGGATACAAGTTGATGACTTCTTACCTAAAATAAATGGGAGCACAGAAAAAGGTAGTGTAAAAAACTTAAATGTTTTTCTTTCATGATATCCTTTTACTATTTAAGCAGGATAGAGAGATCAGTGTTTTAAGGTTTTAAGTGTTTGGAATGAAAAGCATGCAGTTCATAGACCATTGAATCCTAGCATTAAAAAAAGCTTCCCTTTATTTTGTAATTCTTAATGCTATGATTTTTGGTTAGATATCCCTTGTTATATGGAAATTTTTAATTATTCAAATAACAAAAATGACAAAGTTCAACTTTAGCATTGGTTTATATACACAGTATAGCTTTCTCCCCCAGTATATTTTTCAAAGAACTCTACTTTGATTTTCTTCCATCAAGTACTGTTTCCTGAGGATACTGGGCTTCCATTTTTAATGTTTGTGCCCTGCCCCGTACCTGGCCAAGAGCTTATTTAACAGCCCATTGAGCTCTTGGATATGTCATAGAAACTGCTTTCTTTATACTGTATATCTGTTTCTTTAATCAGAAAAAACAGAGTCAGTCATTTCTGCTATCTGAAAAATCATTTATTAGTTAATGATTAGTTTACTGCGACCCTTCTTTCTAGATAGCTTGCATTATCTCTTGCCAAAAATGTATGGCTATTCTTGGTTTTTCTGTTACTGCATGAGGTACTTTTTACCATATGGCTTGTACATTCTTTCAGTTGGGAAGATCCCCATTCATCCTCCTCCATTTCCGCCCATCCAGCTTTAACTGAGCTCCAGCTATGTGCCAGATCCTGTGTTAGATGCTTGAAGCACAGAATGAATAAAATTATTTTCCACATTTATAAAACTATGTACCTCTCATCTTAGTTTTTATATAGAAGTTAGTGCAAGATATCAAGGGTAACACTCAGAACTTCTTATTAAATATTTTTTTCATGTGTCAGGGGATATTTTTGTAGTCCTTGGGGCACAGCCAACTCTGATAAAGTTAGGAGATACTTTTTTGTTTTTGTTTTTGTGTGGTTGGCTTTTATTTTATTTATTTATTTTTTTAAAGATTTTTTATTTATTTGACAGAGAGAAATCACAAGTAGGCAGAGAGGCAGGCAGAGAGAGGAGGAAGCAGGCTTCCCACTGAGCAGAGAGCCCGATGCGGGGCTCGATCCCAGGACCCTGAGATCATGACCCAAGCTGAAGGCAGAGGCTTCAACCCACTGAGCCACCCAGGTGCCCCGTGTGGTTGGCTTTTAATCAGGAACCAGCACGATAGGCTCAAGTAATCATGTATAAATGAGCTGTAAGCTCAAGATCTAATATTACATATATTCTATAACAAATCTTAAAACTCGAAATTAAAAGTTATTGCCATTAATCAGTTATTTGACTATTCTGTATGTGTTTTATAAAATACATCTACATTTTAGAATTCCAGTTTGAGTTTCAATTTGAGAATTTTTTATTAAAGGTATAGTTTATATTCATTACTGATATTATTAATTTCTCTATTAGTTATATTTAACAAATATATACAAAATGACTTAATCCTCACCTTCTAAAAGCTTATCATTGTTAAATGAATTTTTATTTTTTGTTGTCATTATTTGCTTTTATTTTTTCCTCTTTTTGGCATGAACACTTTTTATTCCAATTCATCACCATTTTGACTTAAATGTTATTTATTAATAATGTTAGTGTTAACTTAGGCTGGGAACATACTCTTCCTTCAGTTAAGAGAATCCCTTTATATACAGTAAATCATCTTTATACTATTTTAGAGTTGTCAGATTACTGCTTAAAATTTTTTGCTGAGATGAGGATAGTTATAGACAACTCCTTGATTTAAGACTGAATAAGGTATTTTGGATACTTTAGGGTACTTCTTACCATCATTGTTTTTTAGTGGTGATAAATTGAGTGGTGTGAGAGTGACCTACAAAGTGTCTTTAACGAAATGGAATAGTAAATATCTTGATATGCACAAAAGCATCATTATACCAGATTTAATACAGAGTAGATTTTGGAATGAGTCTGTTCTGAGTCATTTGTTATTACAAACCAATTATCAAGCATTCCAGTATTACCAAAGTCCATAACGACAATATGCTATCAGATATGACTTTATCTAAAATTGCTCTTTAAATAGTAGAGCGAGAACCAAGTATAGTTTTAAGAGAATGTTTTAAAAATATCTGGGAATGTTAAAATTAATGCCTTTTCTCTAGTAAACTCTATTTTTTGAAATTACTTAAATCTAAAGTAGCTGCTATAAGCACAGGTTTTATACTATAAATTTTTTGTATCTTATCTGGTAAGCATAATTCAAATATATCTTAGTATAGAAAAGCACTGTCTAATAGAAATATTATGAGAACCACATACATAATTCTAAAATTTCTGGTAACCACATTAAAAATATAAAAAGAAACAGGTAAAGTGTTGCTAATGTATTTTAATAATGTTTAATAACATATTTACTTTAACTCACTATATCAAAAATATTATTTCAACATGTAATCAGTATTAAAATATTATAAATGAAGTATTTCACATTTTTTCCTTGGTAAGTCTTTGAAACCAGCATATATTTATTTTACACTTACAACATATCTCAATTCAAACTAGCCATTTTTTCAGGGCTCAGTCCACATGTGTATTGAGCATGTATGTTGGACAGCACAGGTAGTATAGAAAATCGAAATTTATAGAAAACTCATGTGTAAATAAAACACATATTAAGTATCACAGCTCTCTCTTTTGTTTCTGTATCTGTCTTTTCTTTATATTTCTGCAGCCCTGTTTGGGATCTTAGACATGCCTCCCCCACCCCCAGGCTCATGTATCTGATTCTTTTTGCATTATCAGTGATATCTTTTATAGTTTTGGCAAAGTGAACTCCCAAGGGGCTGAATTCAAGTAATGAAGTATTAAAAGTGTCATCATCCAAATCTTTTACATATACTCTCTGAAAGACTTTTCTCTCATATCTTAGAAAATGCCTTTGTAGAAGTCATACAGATATATTTTATATTAATCTTGCATTTTATCTAAACTAGTATGATAAATATTTTAATCTAGAGTCTAGATATTAAAATCAGAGTACATAAAAGGGTGATTAGTGGCTTAGTGAGTAATAGGGGATTTACTGCATTAATAAATGTCATCTAAAGTCCTGTGATGATAGTCAGAATTTTCTCAGAAAAGTTCCGATAAGTCCTTTAGGTTAAAATTTGGTTTCAGATGAGTTTTCGGACTTAAGCATGATGTTGTATAGTTGGAGTTCTGAAAATGTTATCATAGCTTAGTTAGGATTTATGTCAAACAACTTTTGATCATGTTGATTACCATTTAACTGAGGACTCCTGCTTTGGATTTCTTGGCTCCAATCAGCAAATGCTATTTATTAGATTTTTTTTCAAATTTTTGTTACAGATAGCCTTTTTTTTTCTTTTTTGGGGGCTATATTGTATCTCTATGTAGTATAACTATATAACTATATAATTATATACAACTATACACACATATCATATATAAATGATACATATGTATATATAACTCTTGACTGGAGGCTCTGTGCACCATGTAAATAGGTAAAGGAGAATGACAGATTTCAGTAGGAAGGTGAAGGAGGTGGCATTAGTAAGGATGTCAAGAGAAGTTGTAATGTGATCAGAATAGGAGATGCCTCCCTGCCTCTCAAGCAAAGTTGAGATGATGAGCAGGTGGTTGGTTGGTTGAAATGAGAAAAGAAAAGAGGCTTTCACAGTCTGAGTGGTACTAACTCGTGTCCTCTTTGACAGCTTTTAGTGCTTGCACACATTCCAGATAGTCATCATACTGGGGTATATTTTTAACACTTGAACTTCCAAAGTCTCCTTAGAAGTTTTGAAAGATCCAGAGATAAAATTGAAGGATGTTATCCAGATTCAGAAGTTAACTCTTTGAATCAATATAAGTAAAGATTATTGTAAGAAAAGGGTTGAGGGGCGCCTGGGTGGCTCAGTGTGTTAAGCCTCTGCCTTCGGCTCAGGTCATGATCCCGGGGTCATGGGATCCTCACATCGGGCTCTCTGCTCAGCGGGGAGCCTGCTTCCTCCTCTCTCTCCTTCTGCCTGCCTCTCTGCCTACTTGTGATCTCTCTCTCTCTGTCAAATAAATAAATAAAAAATCTTAAAAAAAAAATAATTAAAAAAAAAAAAAGAAAAGGGTTGAAACTTTTCTTAAACTCCTGTTAGGTTCTGATTCTCCTCACTCATTAAAACAAATTCTGTTTGACCTGAGCAAAACCATTTTCCAGGCTCTTATTTTAAAATGTATAGGCATTGACTTTAGTCATTTGGGTAGAGATAAACAATGTAATATTTTGAGAGTATATAAAGGACAGATTAAATAAGTCAGAGGGAAAGGTTATTTGTGAAATGAAAGTCTAAAAATTGAAATGTTGCATCAGTGTCTTAAAAATTTTAAGGCATTATTTTATGGTATTCTTAAAATATTTATCTTTTGCCTCTTAACTAAGAATAGCTTTGAAGAGGGACTGTTAGAAAACAGTTATTTGAAAATTCAGTAAGAACAAATAATAAAATTTCAAAATTATTTACAGGTATTTATTAAGCACTCATGGAGAAAGGTATATTTTAAAAGTGGGAAAAGCTTTTTAAAGCAATTTATCTATGGTTTTCTTGAGCTCTTTGGATAGAAACTGTACCTTTAAAAGCTAACTATTCAGGGTACAAGTCAATGATTATATAATTATAATTTTTAGTCATTTAGTTTTATTTAACTCCAAAATATCTCTGCTGTTAATATTAAAAATATATTAAACTTTCATGAATCTTATTCAGAGTCACTCATGTTAATACATTTCCGTTTTCCTACGTTTGCTGTTGGTTTTCAAGAACAGCAACAAACTATATCCTTAAAGGTGTTTCTTTCTTTATTAGAGCACTTGCTTTCAAAGAGTGGCGGGGACTGCACTTTTATTCATCAATTCATAGAATGCCAGAGTGAGTACAGAGTATTTTTCACATTGATTTTAATGCAGTCAGGGGCAGAAATTGAAAAATGAGAGGAAAAATTAAGATCTCAATGTGTTTGTTATCGAAGAAGTGCACAGAGGGCCATCTTCAGACAGCAGCAGTACTTTTTACATTGTTTTGGCTTCTCTCTTTTGAGAAAATTATTTTTGTGGCATTTGCCTTCAAAGAGATTTCATATTGCCCACAAAAAAAAAGGAAGTTTCAGCTTTTACCAAAAAAAATTATTGTTGAGCAGGGAATAAAATGGAATGTCAAGCACCTAAACTTTATGTGTGGACACTTAAGAGGTAGTATTAACATTAGCCTGTTTTATTTAAGTTCTAGTTCTATCACAGGTTTGCATTTGAAGTTTTTAAATAAATTTCCTAAATGATTAAATAAAGCCATGAAAACGGTGATTTCGTTTGGGCGCTCAGATCTGAAGATGGCCCTTAAGGTAGCAGGACCTTTCTAGCGGAGGAGTAGCAATAGATTGTCCAACAGTCTGACATCAACCGCCTACCCTTGGGAAGCCTGTCTTTACTAATAGAGATGGATAGGTTGGCTTTGAGGTGATTTGGACCTCTGCTGAATTCTGAGCGAAAGTGTCATGAATTCCCTCTTATTTGAAAATCACATGGCTGCTTAAATCCTGATGTGATATTCTTTTCGTCTTAGTGATAATTAAAGGTCACTATATGTAATAAAGATTTATTGATGACATCTATACTTTTCCCTACCAGATATAAAATATACTTTCTGAGCGTTTTCCTCTTCCTGTTCGCTCTGTTTTTGAATTGAATGACTTCCCGTGTTTTTATGCTCATGAGCTCATCTTCTAGATGTGCAAGCATATGTGGTTCTCTCTCCTCTTCACACACACAGTCTCAGGAGCACTTGAGCTTTGTAAGGGTCACACCTGGTAATTATAGCAGACAAAATCAGTGGATCAGATGTTATACTCCTCGGAAATGCCTTAAGGAAACCTGGAATTTCATTTAATAGTTTCAGAAGAGCTTCTATTTTGTCCATTTTAGAGATTATGATGTTGAATGTCAGTTTAATACTATTTTGAAGGAAATACTTTAATAATTATTTAGTAAATAAAAGTATTTATTTTGAGGAAAATTATTTAATATCATATTTCTTTGTCGTTTAAAACTTTTCCATAACGCAAAGATTAGTCCGTGTTTTTGTTATCTTCTGATCATGAAATTTCACTTTTATGGGACATTGGCACAGGGATTTGGGGCAAAATAATTGGTATCCACTGAAACCAACTAAAAGCAGAATATAGTCTAAAATACAAATCTTTAGAAGGATTTTATACTTGTTTTATTGCATATGACCATTTTTTGATAAGTTAGTTTTATTTTAAGTTTTTGTGATTTGTATTTTGAGCCCAAAGAAATAAGAACAGAGAACTATCCAAAAAAAGACTTACTAAGTTACAATTTGCAAAAATCTTTTAAAATATTATTGTAAAATATTTAGCTGTAGTTGTAATACAGAATGATGTTTGTCTTACATTAAGAAAAAGATATTTGGGGGCACCTGGGTGGCTCAGTTGTTAAAGACTGCCTTGCCGGCTCAGGTCATGATCCCAAGGTCCTGGGATCGAGCCCCACATTGGGCTCCCTGCTCAGCGGGGAGCCTGCTTCTCCTTTCCCACTCCCCTGCTTCTTCCCTCTCCTGCTGTGTCTCTCTCTGCCAAATAAATGAATAAAATCTTAAAAAAAAAAAAAAGATATTTGGAGGGTCTCCTGGGTGACTCAGTCGTTAAGCATCAACCTTAAGCTCAGGTCATAATCCCAGGGTCCTGGGATCGAGCCTCACATTGGGCTCCCTGCTTCTCAGGGAGCCTGCTTTTCCCTCTCTCTCTGCCTGCTGCTCCCACTGCTTGTGCTCTCTCTCCCTCGCTCTCTCTATCAGACAAATAAATAAAATCTTTAAGAAAAAGATTGGAGATTTTTATTGTGTCATAGGAGAGGCAAATGGACCAGTAAACATTCAGATATACAGCAAAAATTATGTAAATTACAGCAAGCCTCTCAATGGGGATATTAGCTAATAAAATTATAAGAACTATGTAATAGCATGGGGAAAATGTTAAATGTGGTACAGAGGGGAAAATGATAATATAAAATCCTTTTCTTATGGACAGAGAGTGAACCAAAGAACAAAAAAAATAAAATACAAGTATTCCTAGATGTCTGAATCCATTGGGTCCCAAAGTGCAAACAGAGGAAGTTTGGACTGTAAGTTCTCGTAGCTAGGAATATAGTCCATTACCTGAATCTGTTCAGTTCCTGAGTTTTGGTAACCAGTAGCAAGGGTTTGATTAAGGCGGTATCTCAGAAATTTCCAAATATGTTGGCTTCTTAAATTTGGATAGTCAGGGTTGCATACTAAGAGTTAACTCTGGTTTGATTTGTCAGAAAGGATGTTTTCATTATTTTGTAACAAGCTGCCAGTATAGAAATTGTTGTTTAATAAGTATTATGGCGAGTAAGGTAAATTCAGCAAAAATCATACTCAAGTGAACTTTTGAAAAATTTTGGATTATTTTATTATAATCTCACACAAACTTTTTTGCCATTCATTGATAGCCATCTTGAGTTGATTTATGATTTTGAACATGAAGTTTATACTCAGTGAGAAGTGACACTTCATATTCTTATTATCAGTCTCTATTTTTTTTCAAGATTTTTTATTTTTAAGTAATTTCTACACCCAACATGAGGCTCAAACTTACAACCCTGAGATCAAGAGCTGCATGGTCTACCAACTGAGCCAGCCAGGTGCCCCTTATTTCCAGTCTTTTAAAAAGCACATGTTAAGTACCTAGATTTCATTATTTACCATGCTTATTATATAATCCAATTCACCTTGTGTTTTAAAAATTAGAAAGCAGGGGCACCTGGATGACTCAGACGATTAAGCGGCCAACTCTTGATTTCAGCTCAGGTCACGATTGCAGGGCAGTGAGATTGAGCCCCATGTTGGGCTCTGTGCTGGGGTGTGGAGTCTGCATCAGATTCTCTCTGTCCCTCTCTCTCTGCCCCTCCCCCTCCTCTTTCTCTCTCTCTCTCTCTCTGAAAAAGAAAAAAAAAAAAAAACAAAGCAATTCACTTCCATAGGATTCATCATGTCTATTTTTAATATATTAACAGATTTTTTTTTCAGTTTGCATATGTGAATCCATAAGAACGATTTAGTTGTTGGCTGTCTCCATTTATAAGGTGATTTTGACGAAATTAAATGAGTTGGAACACATTTCAATTTGTTTTCCTTTTATGGTAAAAGAAACTGTGTTTCTTTTTAATTCTCTTTTAGGAGAAAAGCTTTTAATCCTGGCAGAGAGATTGGATTTTAACAGTTTTAAATATAACCTTTTGCATAATTCCAGGGCTGTGAAGTAAATTTTCTGTGTAAAAATATACCACATAAAATCTAGAATTAACAAGTAACTTTAATAAAACTTGCTAAAAAGCTCTAGCAATATTTTCTCTTCGGGGATTTGGGCATGAAGTTTGATTTAAGCAGAAGTCCACAATCCATGTTCCCTGCAAATTTTAGTTACTCAAGGTTTACCATAAGTTTACCATGTAAACTTAACAGATAAGTTGAGACTGTTGTGTTCTGCTAAAGATGCTTTTTGAGTTAACAAATTGTGTACCTCTAAATCTGTTTCATATGTATCCTGTGAACTCTGTCACTTGATTAATTTATATGCTGAGTGCAAAGATAAATGGTAAAAGGAGGAGAATCTCAGGACGTAGAGATTCACTTCACGGGCACAGAGTGAAAGACTTCCTTCACGGGACTGCTGCCTACACTTTTAATTCCTTTTGCCACTGTTTGGTGAGGCCGGAAGCATCACAGCCCGGTACCAAAGAAACTTTCTTCTGAGGTGTGCTTTGTATATGCAAACTGTCTCCACCCCAGAAGGCATCTTCCTTTTGATGATTAAGTTAACAAGTGCCCTGAAATAAACTTCATGTCTTTGTAATCTTAATCCACCGTTACTAGGAGACTTAATGGTTTTTATTATTAGGGAAGAATCTAATTCTCTTAATATATCATGTGTTGCTATTTCTTTTTCCTGATTAAAAAAAAAAAAAATTCTCTCCCCACCTCAAACTCCCCTTTTGAAATTACAGTCATTATCTGTATGTTTGTCTTATTCTCTCTCTTTTTTAGGGACTTGCTCTCACATAAAAATTGCCTTATTTAGAGTAATGCTTTGAATCAGTGTTGCTCTGTGACTGTTTACTTTCCGTCACCCTATGAGATCAACCTCTGAACAATCTCAGGAATAAGCCTAATTAAGTACTCTACTCAAAACAGATTTTTAAATTTTCATTTTTTAAACTCATTTTTTAAACTTTTATTTCTCTAGAACAGTTTATTTATGACAAAGAGTAGAAGGCAGTTCCCTGCTCTTATGTCCCCATTATAAGAAGATGCTTTTTTTTTTTTTAAGATTTTTTTTATTTATTTGACAGAGAGAGAAAGAGCAAAAGTAGACAGAGTAACAGACAGGGAGAAGGAAAAACAAGGCTCCCCACTAAGCAGAGAACCTGATGCAGGGCTCAGTCCCTGGACCCTGGGGATCAGACCTGAGCTGAGGGCAGACACTTAACCGACTGAGCCACCCAGGCACCCCATAGGAAAATTCTTGAATTTAAACTAGATGTTGCTAAATTCTTTATTTCTTTGTATTCAGAGCGATTGTCCAATCTAGGACCTATGGGAGGATTTTTGTTCTGTGTGTGTTTATGCCAGTCATTTTCCCAGTTGGCTAACTTCCCAGCATTTCTACCAGGTTTTCTCCCTGTATAAGTGCATGGAAGATAGTCTTAAATTTATGCCAACAGTGTTTTTGGGGTTTTTTTTTTTTTGGCTTTGTTTTTTAAAGATTTTTATTTATTTATTTATTTGACAGAGATCACAAGTAGGCAGAGAGGCAGGCAGAGAGAGAGATG